AAATATTTAGATGTCGAGTTGTTAATGTTTGATTTTTGTCCACAGAGGGCCGCACTGTGTGCCGTGGTAAGAAAGAACGCCGCACAGTGGATCGAGTCAACAGGAGAGGTCGGACAAAATTTGGAAACTTTAAACGCTTATGACTCCGTGTATATAAAACTTTGAGGTTTAAAAGGTGGTTCCACTGGTTTCCTCGTGAAATTTTCTAATAAGGAGCATCCTTCCAAAATTAAAATGTGACGAAAAAACATCAAAATTTGCAGGTTTAGTCAAAAATTTCATGTCTGACCTCTCTGATTGACTCGATCCACTGTGCGCCGTGTGAAAATTCGAGAGTTGCCAAATTTCCTTCGATAAAATGGTGATTTTTTAGGAAAGTTATAAACATTTGGACCGAGTTCAACAGAAAGGAACCAACCCACATAAAGTTGAAACTAAGAAAAATAAGTTTAAAGTTTCATTTCTCCATAAGACTCAATGTAAAACATAAATATTAACCCCTCCTAACACCAAGTAATTCTTATTTCTTGACTTTGAGTCATTGGCAGGGGAATATATATGACTATAGTAAAACTCAAAAACATTCTTAACTCAATTTTTTCGAAAATGTGGGTTGGTCTCTTTCTGACGAACTCGGTCCATTTTTCCGTAAAATTTTCAGGTTTAGGTGAAATCGCGAAAAAAATCTATTATAAAACTGGAAGAAAAGTATGCACAAGCTTGCAAAGAAATTCTTATTTTATCAAAGGAAATTTGGCAACGCCTTAAAACCCGTACGGTGTTTTTCCTTAGCATCAAAAATTAGTCAAAAATTCTGACTTACAAAAAAATGTCCGATTCTTCTCCTAATTACAGATAAGAAAATTCATTACGCCTCAAGGAATGACTTCTCTATATAAATTTTCATCAAACAAAAGTATTTTGAACGATTTTTAGCGCCTGCAAGAACATTTATCTTGAAATCTGCAGCATGTCTTAAAATAATTTTGTTTTTTTAAATTAAAACATATGTAAAGCATTTATAGAGGAAGAGAGAAGAATAATTCGTAGATTTGATGAGTTATGTTTCCCAAAATATTGAAAATTCGTGATTTCTTCGCCACATTTTAAGACATGCTGCAGATTCCTAGATAAATGTTCTTCCAGGAGCTAAAAATCGTTTAAAATACTTTTTTTTATGCAAATTTTTATAGAGAAGTCATTCCTTGAGGCGTAATGAATTTTCTTATCTGTAATTAGGAGAAGAATCGGACATTTTTATGTAAGTCAGAATTTTTGACTAATTTTTGATGCTAAGGAAAAACGCTGTACGGGTTTTAAGGCGTTGCCAAATTTCCTTTGATAAAATAAGAATTTCTTTGCAAGCTTGTGCACATTTTTCTTACAGTTTTATAATAGACTAACCGCTGTGGCTCGCTTCGCTCGCCTCGCGCCTAGCCATCGTGATTTCGTAATCCGTTAAAATTTGACTATTTGCCTAGGCATTAGATGAAATGCCTGATTTGACTAATCGCCTGCTACGTATGGACTAAGTTAAATAGGAAAGAATCATGTCATATTTTAGTTTAAATAGGAGTAAGGAGTAGGATGTAGCTGAAATAGCCGCAAAATTCGTCGTTTCTCTAACGTAGGGCGTATCTCTATTTCCATGTGAGCCCCAGTGAACATGGAGCGTTGCCTACGAGAATGGAGAGGCCGTAACTAGTCAGTTCTGTGACGTCAAGCTAGTAGATATTTACCGAAAACAACAAGCATCTCCGGGTCATCAGTGCATCGATGAGTGAGGCAGTCGCTGCGTGGACCAATCAGAGTGGCTCTCGATCGGCCGAAGTTGCGCGAGCGGCCCGTTTGAATCTGAGTGGAGTAACGATTTTCGGTATTAGGCATTCATTTCCTCGATATTTAGACAATGTCACAAATGAACTAGTTAGTTTTCT